TGTAGTACACGNNGGACCTCGGTTTATTGTCCCATCTGAACAACTAGAAACTTTTTCCATGTCAGCCCCTCTTACCTACATCACTGACATGGAGAAACCAGGTCGAAAAATCTGAAGGTATCATCTCGACCTTTGGATAGGGTAGAAATTTGATTGGTTAAAGAAGACGTCATCGAGTTAGGTCAAAAGGTTAATTAGAGGAATGATCAAGAGGGCTGTCTTTAGACCCTAAAGTAAGTGGCTATATTAAAAAATAAAAACCAATCAAAAACAAAACTAAAGTTTATATCATAGTTGTAAATTTGATTGGTTAAAGCAGACGTCATTGAATAAGGTTAAAAGGTCAATTTGACGGATGTTCAAGAGGGCTGTCTTTAGACCCTAAAGTAAGTGGCTATATTAAAAATAAAAACCAATAAAAAACGGAACGAAAGTTTGGTCTAAATTTAATTAGATGTTTTTGTGGCCGAACGTCTAACTCACTCAGGCACCCTGGCACCCAAAATGGTAAAAGTCTTTGAAATTTGTCTGAAATGTGAAATAGTACAGAATGTAAAGTGCATGTTAAAATGTTGAGGTTTTTGATGAGTCATCGTTGTAATGGAGAAAACAGAATGAAGAATTTTGGAGGAATTCCTTGAAATTTGTACCATGTCTACAACTTTTTACTAGAATACTACTAAATATTTACTTGCCTAAAAATAAACTAAGTTCTAACAATCCGAAACGCAAAACAAAATCCAAAACATTTTAGTGAAACATGGGTAGCAGCTAATAAACTTTTCATATGAGGAAGTATATCAATTATAAGGCTTTCTGTGAGGGCTCAAAGGATCCAATCAAATCGCTGCATTTACAAACTTTTATGATACAAGAAAAGGTCAAGGTATAAGACAAAAGTTGTAATAGCTTGACATTGTGAAGATGTGATACAAGAAAGGTGACTATTGTAGTCAAGGTATAAGACAGAGTTTGTAATAGCTTGACATTGTGAAGATGTGATACAAGAAAGTTGGCTATTGTAGTCAAGGTATAAGACAGAGTTTGTAATAGCTTGACATTGTGAAGATGTGATACAAAAAAGGTGACTATTGTAGTCAAGGTATAAGACAGAGTTTGTAATAGCTTGACATTGTGAAGAGTGTGATACAAGAAAGGTGGCTATTGCAGTCAAGGTATAAGA